TCAGGGAGGGAAGGGGTGGGGAGAAGGGAGGGGGCGACTTTGAAGACACGCCCCCTCCCTTCGCCCCACCCCTTTCCTCCGTGACTCCTCCTTCCCTCCTCCCACCCCCTCCGGAAAGACACGCCCCCTCCCTTCGCCCCACCCCTTCCCTCTGTGACTCACTCCTCCCCCTCCCTTCCCCGCAACACACACACTGACGCCGGTAACACACACCCCTCCCTTTCCCGCAACACACACACGCCACAACACGCCCCAATCTTACCTCCTCCTTCTTCTTCCTCAAACTTTCCTCCTCCCCCTCCTTCCCCCCTCCCTCCCCCCCCCAAGCCCTGCCCCTTCCCACCCTGTCAAAACCTCCCCTCCTCCCCTCTTTCTTCTCCCTCCAAACCCCGCCCCCTCCAAGCCACAAGAAGGAAGAAGAGAAGGAAAGACGGGAATGAAGAAAAGAAGGAAGAAAGAGAAAGGGAGGTAAAAGGGGGAAGGAAGGAAAGAAAGAGAAAGAAGGAAGAAGAAAAGGAAAGAAAAGGAAAGATGAGCCCCGCCCCCATCCTCCCTCGCCGCGCAAAGCCGGAGAGCCACAGTTACCTCACGAGGAGCCCTTTGCCTATGCTCCCCGTCGGGACGACTCCGGCCAGAGGGAGGGATGACGGAAGAGCAGCAAAAGAGGCGAGTGCTGGGAAGGGAAGGGAAGGGAAAGGCGGGGGGGGGGGGGGAGGGGGAGGCTCCACAACACAACACAACGTCTCACAACAGAAGGAGTGACCATCACTCAAACAATTATGATTCTGTCATTTGGGAGATGTAGTTCCTGGGATTTATAGATCACCTACAATCAAAGAGCATTCTGGACTCCACCAATGATGGAATTGAACCAAACTTGGCACACAGAACTCCCATGACCAACAGAAAATACTGGAAAGGTTTGGAGGGCATTGACCTTGATTTTGGGAGTTGTAGTTCACCTACATCCAGAGAGCACTGTGGACTCAAACAATGATGGATCTGGACCAAATTTGGCATAAATACTCATATGCCCAAATATGAACACAGATGGAGTTTGGAGGAAATAGACCTTGACATTTGGGAGTTGTAGTCACTGGGATTCAGAGTTCACCAACACTCAAAGAGCATCTGAACCCCACCAACGACAGAATTGGGGCAAACATGCCACACTGAACCCCCATGACCAACAGAAAATACTCAAGTTTACACACAAGCATAAAGAAGGGGGAGGAAGGAGGGATTCCAGAGAGAGAAAGAGAGAGAGAGAGAGATAAAGAGGGGAAAGAAAGTAGTGTGAGAGAGAGAAAGAGGGAAAGAGAGCGAGGGAAGGAAGAGAGGCCAGGCAGAGACTTCAAAACTCTTACTAAAGGCCACAGCAACGCGTGGCAGGGCACAGCTAGTATCTGTATAAAAATACATATTTACAGGAATGAAAAAAATCAGTAGTGCCACAAAAAACAAAAAAAAAAAAAAAAAAAAAAAAAAAAAAAAAAAAAAAAAAAAAAAAAAAAAAAAAAAAAAAAAAAAAAAAAAAAAAAAAAAAAACAAAAAAAAAAAAAAAAAAAAAAAAAAAAAAAAAAAAAAAAACTCTTACTAAAGGCCACAGCAACGCATGGCAGGGCACAGCTAGTACTCACATATATTCATTAAAGGAATCTAAATATGGTCGAAGGCTTTTCAAAAAAGCCATGTCTTCAATTGTGTATGGAAGGCTTGAAGAATGGGGGCTAGTCTGATCTCCCTTGGAAGGGCATTCCAGAGACAAGGGGTTACCACTGAGAAGGCTCTATCTGTCATCCCACCAACTGCACTTGAGATGGAGGCGGGACTGAGAGGAGGTAGATCTTGATGCCCGTGCCAGTTCATAGAAAGAGAGATGTGGTCTCGAAGATAGGTTGGACCCGAAGCATATAGTGCTTAGTAGGTAATAACCTGCACTTTGAATTGGGTTCAGAAACTCATCGGCAGCCAGTGGAGCTGCTTTAATAGGGGCACTGTGTTCTCCCTATAACCAACTCCAGTTAGTAATCTGGCTGCTGATCTTTGCACTAAATGCAGTTTCCAAGCCGTCTTCAAAGGCAGCCCACGTAGAGTGCATTGAAGTAGTCCATTCTAGATGTAACTAGGGCATGGACCACCCGTGGCCAAATCAGGCTTTTCGAGGTACAGCTGCAGCTAGCACACAAGTTTTAATTGGGCGAAGGCCATCCATCCACCACTGCAACCTAAGCTTCAAGCATCAGTGCTGAGTCCAAAAAGACCCCCAGATTGCGGACCTGTGACCTCAGAGGGAGTGTAACCCCGTCGAGCACAGGTTGCCAATCTATACCCCAATTGACCCCACAAGTGACCAAAAGGACCTCTGTCTTGTCTGGATTAAGCTTCCATTTGTTGGCCTTCATCCAGTCAGTCACAGCTGTCAGGCACTGGTCCAGGATCTGGGAAGTTTCCTTGGAATGCGGGGAAAAGAGTAGGTGAGTTGTGCGTCATCTGTGTAGAGATGGCACCTAACTCCAAAACTCTGGATGACCTCACCCAGCAGTTTCATGTAGATGTTAAAAACCATGGGGGAGAGAATGGAACATTGTGGGACCCCCACAGGTCAGTGGCCAAGGTTCCGAGCAGGTGTCCCTCAGCATCACCAACTGAGTACAATCCTCCTGGAAGGAGCAGAGTCACTGCAGAGCAGTGCCCCTAAGACCCATTCTGGAGAGCCGACACAGAAGAATACCATGGTATTGAATGCACTGAGAGATCCAGGAGAACTAGCAGGGACACACTTCCCCTGTCTAGCTCTCTGCAAAAGTCATCCACCAAGGTGACCAAAGCTGTCTCCGTTCCATGACCAGGCCTAAAACCAGACTGCAAGGGATCAAGATAATCAGTTTCATCCAAGAAACCCTGGAGCTGAGAAGCCACCACCCTCTCTAGAACCTTTCCCAGAAAAGGGAGATTACATTTCAGTTGTGTTCTCTAATATATGCTCTTCTCAGTGTTCAGCGTAGTAAGTTTGAATTAAATCTGCTTGTTGATATTGAAATGGTGCTAACTACCCCCTTCCTATTTGGTTATTGGATTATTGAAAAGCAGCTGCAGTATGTATGAATATGGTGCAGTTTTTGATTGAAGCAGAAGCACTTTAGAATGATGGATTCAGTTGTATAGCTCTGGTCTTTTCATGATCTCACTGTCTCAAACCAGTTATTAAGGTGAGAATAATAGAGATACCTGTACACTTCCCTCAGCGAGGCTAATAGCTTCAGCAAGACAATGCTGTGGGAGGAAGAGCTATCCCTACCTGACCTGGAGCCACTGTTCTGATCAATATTGTTTGCTCATAGCTGTTTTAAAGATTTACCTATTGTTTTAAAAAGTTTGGAAGAGTGAAGTATGTAAAAAATAGAAATCTATCTAAGGCTTCTGAGAAGATTGACTTTTTTTTGGAGGCCTAGGTTTTCTTAGTAGTGTGTTCTAGTGCAGTTCAGATTCAACATACATCTTTTTGTGTGTTTATTCGCTCACTAGAGTCTTTGGAGGTTTCTTCCTTCCAGCAGTTGTTTTCTGTTCTATAAATTTTGTGGTATTTAAACCACTTCTATATTCCTGTATGCAAACAAACTATAATTTCTGTTATTTGTAATGAATTTGTTTATTTATTTATTTCTCGCACTTCTACCCCGCCCTTCTCAACCCCCGAGGGGGGACTCAGGGCAGCTTACAAAAGGCACAATTTGATGCCTGCACAACAGCAGGTAAAAATAAAACATATATAGACAGCAATTAAAACAATTAAAACAATCCATTATACATCACAGTCCCTAAAAACCAATCTAATGCTCAACGTTTGCCAGCTCAGAGTCTGTGAATTCAATTCCACATTGTCGAATCCATCAGTTCTAGTTGTCGCTTGTCCTTTGTCTATCTGCCAGATTCCTCGAAAGCCTGGTCCCAAATACATGTTTTTAATTTCCTTCTAAAAGAGAGGAGGGATGTCGATGACCTAATTTCCCCGGGGAGTGAATTCCACAGGTGAGGGGCCACCACCGAGAAGGCCCTGTTCCTCGTCCCCACCAACCTCACTTGTGATAGAGGTGGGGCCGAGAGCAGGGCCTCCCCAGAAGATCTTAAACTCCGTAGTGTACTGTATTGTATAATTAATACAACATGTGGTTGGTTTTCTGTTTTCTGTCTGGATTTTCCTTATGTGTTTCTGTGTTGCCCCAGCCTCTTATAGGTGGTACTGATGCAGGGAGAGAGATATTTCCTCCCAGCAATATTTAACATTTTAAATAGGAAAGAAAGCAACGGTGTTTTGCATTAAAGTGGTAGAGCTCCCTCCCTCCCTTTGCTGGCAAGGAAATATCTTTTTAAATTTTGAACGGACATTTGGTAATTAATTTGCTGTGAGGAAGGGCATTTTATGTGTATGTATGTGTGTGTTGTACTTCTCCTTCCATGACCCAATTTGACTGCTTTCTGTGGCTGAGAGTTGGTAGAGGACATCCACTGAGAAGATGGAACTTGTACTCATTGAGTCGCCTGTTTGGGCTGAAAAATGCGGTATAGAAATAAAGCAAATAAATAAATAAATACTCATCTTCTTGAGATGAACTTCAGTTTGTATTTCTCTATTCACTGGTTCAATCTAATTTTTGTGATGAACAAGGACTGTTGTATGGTTGTCAGCACTAGTCTTTTTCTGTAGTACATTGTATTGAATGCAGCAGTATTTTGATAAGTTGGTTGAATGCGCTGTGAGCAGTCTGGCATTCCATTCAGGTCTTCAGATTTGAATAAAAGTTCCTATGGTTTGTTCTTACTCTGCTTGAAAATTTCTTTGTTCCATAATGCTCTCTTCAACCTGGTGCAGAAATTTCATAACCAAAGAGGATATAAATGAGAGACTCCTCCTGTTATTTCAAAAGTATAATGTTTTAATGGTCATGAACACTTTCATCTACTCCCCATAATATTCTAACATAATATTGTTTTTGCAGTGGTGGAAGAAGGACTTTGGGAGAATGGACTTTCATATGAATGCAGGACACTTCTTTTCAAGGCAATTCATAACCTGCTGGAAAGGTAAGAGCACAAAGTTTGTAATAGTGAATATAGTGTTATATTTTTGCAGGGGTCTATGAATGTGATTATGGTTTACCTCCCATCAGTCTCCTCCCCTCATTCAAACATTTTCTTCCTTCTTTTCTTCTTTCTTTCCTTTGCCTGCAGTTTTTACTTGTCGCAAAATATTTGTTTACAAACCTGTTGGAAAAGCGACAGTGTTTGTATTATGTGGGTAGAACTGGATGGTCTAGCAGTTTGAAGCATCCCAGTAGAATTAATGTTAGAAAGTAGTGTGAAATATTCTAGGCTGCCGTTTTTATCCTGGTTGTCAGGAAAGATCAGCTGTATGCCCTTGTCTTGTAGCCACTCCTTTTTTTCTTTGCTACTTGCAAAAGGGATATGGGCTAGGAGCCACAAAAGGCATGAGTAAACACAGACTTCATAGAATTAGGCTCTTCTTGGTTAAAGGATCTTCAAGGCCTTAGCTGTTAAGAACTTTCTCTTCCAGTTCCAACAACCAGGCAAATGCTGTTGAGGGCTGGAAATCCAATAATATGAACCTCCTGGAATTGTTCTTGAACTTCTTAAACTCTGGGACTTGAGTCCTCATATCCATGTGCCTCAAGGCATGTGAAGAGACAACAGTTTGGGATCAAATGCACGAAATACAAAAATATGAAAAGTAATATATTGATCTTTGTATTAAATGACTTGAACAAAGGGGGCAGATCAGGCACACAAATATCTGTAAAGATAAAATCAATCTAGTTTTCAGCAAAATGGGTTTAGTCTGTGCTAAAGTCCAACAAGCAAGGTAATTTGGATCACAGATCAGCCCTACCAAACCCAAAACATGGATACTATAATGGACTCTTCTTGCATCCCGGCTTCCTCTGCTATAATGCATTATACCGTAATCCACCCCAATCTCCTCATAGTGCAGCATTCGTGTTTTGGAAGGCCTGCAGTGAAAGATAGGCTTTGATCACATCAGCAAGCTTAAAAGATCAAATTTATAAGTGTGGTCCTGTGCACTTAGGCATTGTTTACTGGTCCAATCTGACTAGGGAAAGGTAGTCACATTGTGCTTAATGGGCTTCATTCCAGAAGAGCAACTGATACAGGATTTCACTTGTATAGACAGTATAGCTTGCAGAAAGAATCACCCCCTAGGATATAAAGGTTCCTTCCTATATGCTCTGTTTTTTATGACTGTAAATGATTTCCTTTCTTGTTGAAACCTTCTCTCAGAAAGGAGGTTAAGTGATCAGCAAGAGTAATGAAATCTTAACCAAACATTGTGCTACCCCGCTTGTAAATACTCCACACTGGTAAGTAAATAGTCACTTTTCCTCCTCTTCAGAACTAACAGTTGTCTGACATTATAGTAGTTGGCAGACATTGTTCGTGATTCATGTAATTCCATTGCCGATCCTATTTTTAAAAGAAAAGGAAGTACTGCAAAATAGCAAAACAGCAATGAGCAGTGCAACAAGTAACGAATGGGTTACCTTTCCCAATGTTGTTATGGAAAACACTGTGGATGTTTGCAAATGCTAGTGTCCTGATCTGTGTATAGACATCTTTACAAAGCAAGAGAAAAAAGTGATGGAAAATCAGTATCAGAGCTTGGAAGTAGCAAGTTACAAGCAATATATCTGTGGCTAGTTATCTTTTAGGGTTGATGATCTCTCTTTTTACCTGTCTTCAGTCATCCACTCTGAACTCTTTCTCGTAAAGTTTTTATACTCTCTAGAAAAAGTCAGTGCTCTTCCTCAATCTTCTCTTTTACTCTTTTTCTTAGATCTTCTCTCCATCTACCCTAGTACTTTTTCTATCACTCCTTGTCTAGACAGCAGCTCCCTCTTTTTGAGTAGCAGAGGAAATCATTATAATACATGACACTTCCTAGAAGTTCTATAGGAGACATGAATCTTCCAAGCTTGCTAACAGCTTTGTTTCTAGTTAAGGAAGGCCTGGCACCCAGTGGTTTAAGATATTACTGCAGACTACAAACAGAGTTTAATGAAACAGTTAAAATGTTGGGGAGCCTACTGTATTTATAGAGAGGAAAGCACCTCTTTAAAATGCCTACCAAGCCCAAATCCAGTTCTTCACCAGTCTCTCCCCTGTGTTCTCCTTAGGTTATATTATCCTTAATGGGAAACGAGGACTGCTTCTGCCCCATTCAGAAGATTCCCCTTTTCAAATATATCAGCTGTCTACACAGTTGGAGCTAAGCACAGGCAGGCTTCAGTAGCTAGCTGGGCAATGCCGTGTGGATTACAACCGAAATAGCCTGGTTCTTCACTGCCTCTTTTAAAACCATCATCACACCTTATTTGTGGATCTCAAGGTTGTATCTGTGCATATTTCCAAGGAAGCGTTTAATTCCGAAGAGCCTGGTGTTTGTGAACCAGTACCTCAGTGTCACATGTAGAAATATTTATATTGATTGCAGTCAGTAGACCCTTTTAATATGCATTTTAAAAAGCTAAATCTCAATATGCTTAAGTATGCATGCTAAGTTTTGTCATTCCATGTTTCACTGCTGTAGAACTATGGCTGAGGTAGAGACACAATCTCTATATAGATTCCTTTTGCATACACAACCCTACAACACAGACTTAAGTTGTATTTGCATATTAACTTTGTGGGCTGTCATTTTAATGTTTAAATTAGGTGTGGGAAACTTTTCTGGGAGTAGTTTGGTATTTATTGGCAAAATGCATTAGCATTTGTTTGAAGGGGCCTAGGAGTATGGGGATATCCTGGAGGGGCTGCAAAAGAGGGGCTGGTGGTAGGATGATTGTGGCCATTGGGCTCCATCTCTTCTGCACATTTTAATACCAATGCCATTTAGCATGACTGCACATGGTACATATGCGCATGTAGTGCAGAGCCTGGTTTGATCGCCCTACGAGTTTGAGGCCTCAAATAGCGCCCTGAACATTTTTTGTGCAAAAAAAACCCTGGAATCTAAAATCTCAAAAAGTGAAGCCTTGTTTGTGGAAATCGGTCATCAACAGGTAGAGCCATAATATTAAGGTGAACAGTCAACAGGAACATGACTCCTATGACTCACTGTGGAGACGACACAGCTTTTTCCAAATGGTTCACAAAAAATAAGGCACAATCATATGCCATTTGAGCCTATCTTTTAAAGAGACAAGTCATGCTTTCCTATGAGGGGTAACATGTAAAGGAGTCCTCCATAACACATTGATGTTCCACTCACATGTTTCTCCTGGGGAAACACATTCCAGCATCAGCAGTATACTAGCAAAGCCTGTGTCCTGCCTTTGTGTGTTTCTAAGTTATAAAACCATGATTCCACCCCATAATTGGCACCTTTCATCAGACTATAAGCTTTTAAAGGGTGATAGGATTGAGAGGTAGAACTGCCACTTCAGGGAATAATAGGTGTAATAAAAGAGATGCCAAAAGAGGGGGAAATGTACAGCATCTATTGTTCTTTTTTGTGGCAGAGATAACATGGAAACCTGCCATTAGCCGTAACTACATTGCGGCCAGTGCCGCTATAGAGTAGACAAAATCTAGTATGTGTACAGCTAAACTAACAATGTAAAACAAAGATTTCATGCACAGTAAACGACAGTGGAAGATAGCCTGGGATAAAAGTAGTCTTTTTTGATCGCATACAATTTAAGAGTCAATGAAGTACTATCTACCAGGAGCTCAGCTGTCCTGGACTATACCATACTAAAATACAGCTTGCCTTAGTCTCATGTGGCAGATGATGTCTGCTCTCCATTGGAGCAGTCCCATTATTTTATTGTTTTTGCTGTCTGGGGTTATCTGTACAATGCAGTTGGCGTGAAAATATTCCTAATCAATTAAGCCTAAAAGGCAAACCCTAATTTTGCCATTTTCCTATGTCATTGTATATAATTGGACTTGGGCGTGAATGGAATCAAACCCCCAACAGGTACCAAGGGCCCGCTGTAGTGTGTATTGTCACTAAAATGCTTCTGAAATAAAGTCTAATAATTGTCAAAGACAGAGTTGAACAGATAGCCAACAGATAATTAAAATTTTGACAATATAATAAGATCATTTTAAACTACTGGATTTATACTGGATTTCAGTAGGACCTTCAACAAGGTCCCCCAGGATCTTCTGGCAAACATACTAGTCAAATGTGGGCTAGGCAAAACTATGGTTAGGTGGATCTGTAATTGGTTAAGTGAACAAACCCAAAGGGTGCTCACCAATGCTTCCTCTTCATCCTGGAAAGAAATGATGAGTGGAGTGCTTCAGGGTTCCATCCTGGGCCGGGTTCTGTTCAACATCTTTATTAATGACTACAATGAAGTGACACCACTCTGATGGCCGAAAGCGAGGAGGAGCTGAGGAGCCTTCTAATCAAGGTGAAAGAAGAAAGCGCAAAAGCCGGGTTGCAGCTAAACATAAAAAAACAAGATTATGGCAACAAGAATGATTGACAACTGGAAAATAGAGGGAGAAATGTGGAGGCCGCGACAGACTTTGTATTTCTAGGCGCAAAGATTACTGCAGATGCAGACTGTAGCCAGGAAATCAGAAGACGCTTACTTCTTGGGAGGAGAGCAATGTCCAGTCTCGATAAAATAGTAAAGAGTAGAGACATCATACTGGCAACAAAGATCCGCCATAGTCAAAGCCATGGTATTCCCTGTAGTAACCTACGGATGTGAGAGCTGGACCTTAGGGAAGGCTGAGCGAAGGAAGATCGATGCTTTTGAGCTGTGGTGTTGGAGGAAAGTTCTGAGAGTGCCTTGGACTGCGAGAAGATCCAACAAGTCCATCCTCCAGGAAATAAAGCCCGACTGCTCATTGGAGGGAAGGATACTAGAGACAAAGTTGAAGTACTTTGGCCACATCATGAGGAGAAAGGAAAGCTTAGAGAAGACAATGATGCTGGTTAAAATGGAAAGAAAAAGGAAGAGAGGCCGACCAAGGGCAAGATGGATGAATGGCATCCTTGAAGTGACTGGATTGACCTTGAAGGAGCTCGG